GGGGGTCAGTAATGGGGACACTGTGCTGTAAAAATGGCAACGTCCTTTGGATGAGACATAAACCCGAGGTCCTGACTCTCTAAGGTCATAATAGATCCCCAGGCAGGGAGTAGAGGTGCTACCCTGATGCCCTGGCTAACATTGCCCACGGTGGCCCTTTCAAATCTGGCCTCCTAATCACCCCCTATATCTAACTGGTGAATTCTCTCCTGCCCCTTCACCGCCTCAGCTACTGTGTGGTGGGCGTACTGGTGCAGAAAGGCTGCCGTCACGTCATCCAGGTGGGGGCTAAAAGCACTTTGGGCGTCTTAAAAAGTGCTATACTGTATAAACATAAAATTCATTCATTCATTCATTCATTCATTCATTCATTCATTCATTCACCTCTCCCGGGGGTCTCCGCGTCACAATCAGCCGCTTGTTGGGATTTTTGAATTATTAGAAATGTAGTCCGACATGAAGAACAACGTCTCGCTTCAGACGGAATAAGTCAGCAGTTCTGCCCCTTCTTACGAACTGCGGCAGCATTAGGGTGGTCCGTTTGCAGGGACGTGCAGCTGAAGCTCGTCTGCGTGGCTGACTTTCGCCTGAATGGGCGTGTGCTGGGCTCACAGTGGGACTCCTTTCACAACCCTGTTATCGGATCAGTGGACATTTGAATATGATGGGTGCTTCAGGAAGCTTGCAAAGAGGATTGTGGGGAAAACGAGAGGCTCCAAATATGCTTATACATATTTGCATTTGTGTGAGGTGCTTCAGCAGAGAGAAATAGAGCACAGAAGATTCAGGGTGCATCAGAGAGACAGTGTGGCGGTAGTTAAAACTGCATTATATTGTTAGTAAGTGTATTTTAGTGTGTATTGCCTTTTATACTGTGCGTCAAGTCATTAAAATTAAATACCAGAAGAGTGAGAAACTTTTATCTATAATGCAGTTTTATTCATTCATTAATTCATTCATTCATCTTTTATACTGTTTGTTCTATACTGCAGGGATCTGGAGCTTAAGCCAGAAATGGGTACAAGGCAGGGAATAGTCAAGGACAGGGTGCCAACCCATTGCAGGGCACGGTCAAAATAATGTCTAAAATGAACAATGCGTAGAGATCTTAAAAAGCCAGCCAGCCAAAAGAACTGCCTGTAACAGAAGAGTAGGACAGGATTCACTTACCTCTGAATCCGGTTCTGCTTTCAAAAACAACATACCAGGAAAGACAGCTGCAGGCTGAGAGAGTGTTTGGTAAGTTTCCTTGTGACGCAGTATCTGCGCCATTAAGCCTAGTTCTCAAAGGCATATCATTGTCTTTAGTTGTTCATATTGTGTGTCAGTGGCTATTCTCTCTTTGTGTGTTTTTGCGTGACTGTAATTCAAGTTCATGTAGCACTCCTGTTAAACATTCTGACGTCATATTTAATTAACAGCCAGCAATCCACGGGTAAGCCAAAGCTGTGTTATTGCTGTGTTAGTACCAGCATGAACATGCTCAAATGTAAATGTAAGGTACACATACAGTACCAGCATACGTTTTGTGATTGACAAATCAGCACAAGATAAACTGTGTCAAAAAAACACCAGATTAAATTTGCAGAAAAAAATGCCAATACTTCCCAGATTTGTTTGCTTCTCTGTTAACGGGTTTCATTCTGGAGGCTAGGAGTATGCAAATCTAGGAATAGTCGTGTTTTCTTCCAGAAGTATGAAAATACTGCTGCTCCTGGTTCAGGTTGTCGCATGTAATGCTTAATGCGACATGCAGCTCTTGTTTTCGATGGTCTATTCAGTAATAATGAGGAGCGCAGGGCCTGTGTGAAATTAACACTGGTGTTTAGAAATAGCTTTTTGCGATGCAAATGCATCAATTTAATTAAAATTCCTATTAGCCCTAAAGCATTACTCTAATCTCCGCTGAAATTTACAGAACCAAAAATAGTGGGCTGGCACACGACGAGGGATTTGAGACATGAATTCGTCATCAGGCTGCTCACATACACAAAGAAATTTGGTGTGAAGGTTATATTTTTATGCACAGTAATTTATAGGGAATGTGTGACTGGCAGGTCAAATGAAGCTTTTCCTTCCCTTGGTGGCAGATCTTTGCAGATGAGGTGGCTGCTGGGAGTGTTTCAGGCAGTTACTGCATCCTGAACGATCCAGATTAAAGGCCCAGATTAAAGCAAAGCGGGCATTTTAAATCCGGGGCCTGATTTCCATGGCATCCTCTGAGGTTCTGTGACATCCTCAGCTGCCCTCTTACTCCCTAAGCCTTCCATGGAAAAATGCTCGGTGTAATACACAGCGCACCATAGGATTTCGGACCCTATTGTTCAACACGTGTTGTGGTTACTCCTTTTGAAAGGTCCTCAGTACATTGTGGTGTTTGTGCTGTGTGCAACAGATTAACAGGTAGGCCTTAGAAGATGTAGAACTATCATATCAACAGTTATATTATTGGAAAACAAGGTTCTTTCTAACAGATTTTACCGCTGTTGTCCATCACTGAGTTGTGGTACAAGCAGTACAAAAGTCAAAAGAAATCAACAGTCATTGTATATATGGCATAATAGGGCAAACTAGTAGTGCGAACTATGATTTAATTTACATCGGTCTAGGTCTTCCTTTATAACAGAAATGAAGAGCGACCTTCTTTTCACAGGTCAATAACTTGTCTTTCACTAGGTCCAGTCATTTTTTTTTCCTTGAGGTACTTTCTAAAGTCTTTAGTTTAAAACCCACTTGACCTGAGCCCTCTCATCGCCAAAATGCAGGGTATGTAACGGACCGCTGCGCTCCTTCTTCAACGCTCAGGTGCTGGAGAGCTTCAAGATCATGGACTACAGTCTGCTGCTGGGGGTGCATGTGCTGGACCAGAGCGTGAAGGACGGGGACGTGGCAGAAGCTTGCGGAGACGGCAGGCGTCCGGTGGGCCAGAAGGTGCTCTATTCCACAGCCATGGAGTCCATTCAGGGGGACGGCAAGGCGGGCGAGTCGCTCACCACCGATGACACGTGAGTGACTGTGAGCCGCTTGGCAGACGGCGGGGGCTGGCACTCAGAAACGTACGCCAACACTCGGTGGGTCACATGACCTGGGCAACGAGAAGCCCCCTCATAATTACAATGTGATGCAGTGTATGTATAAATAAAGGGAAACTCATGGAGGATAGTCCTACACTTGTTAACAACAGTCTCTGATTGTGTGACCTTTCCAAAAAATTACATTCATGCCTAGACGTGCTGCTTCTCCGTTGGTGTGTGCCGCTGTTTGTCTTTGGTGCGATGATCGCTCTGATAAGTTAACTTGCTTTCGACTGAAAGACAAGAGAGAGTTAAGCAAGCAAATCAGTTGTGTTGAATTGTCTGAATCTTTATTACCAGGATGGGTGGCATTCCTGCCAAAACGCACAGAGACGAGAGGCTTCTCATATTTCTGGGTATTATCGACATCCTGCAATCTTACAGGTATGTTTACTGCATTTGACAATGTTTTATTCTTGTTTACATTTTTATCATTATTTATGTATATGATGAAATGTATGCTGCATGCTTTTTGGCATCAACATAAAAATGTCACTTTACTGAAAGTAAACATCAGCACATCAGCAGCAGAAGGATCATACTGTATAATATTCCTGACTGCGATGTTTCTACTCCGTTCACTATTTCCGTAGGTTTATTAAGAAGCTGGAACACTCCTGGAAAGCTCTTGTGTATGATGGCGTAAGTCACACGACATACGTGTGCATGTGAAACACCGTTTGACTTCCCCTCTCCAAGAGGAAAAAAAGACTAAATCAATTTTCCTTCATTCTAGGACTCTGTGTCAGTACACAGACCCAGTTTCTACGCGAATAGATTTCTGAAGTTCATGAGCTCCACAGTGTTCAGGAAGATTCAAAGTAAGTGTCCTGGCAGCTTCAAAAACCTGCAGAGATGATGGTGTAGGTGCATTTTTCATAATGATCCTGGATTAATCAAACAGAAGTACATTCTGAGTGGTGTGGGAGACTCGTCAATAGCTGTTGAGGTCGGCAGGGTCATTTGAGCGCCTTGTTCCTCGTGGCTGTTGCCATGAAAACCCGCAGGTGCTCGCTGCCAGTTCAGCCCACAGGATGTCACAGCTTCATCTGGCGGTCGGAAATAAACTCGCCAGATCCACCCTCATTTGATTCTCACCTTGTCAACAGTCCTGTCCCTGTTGTTGTTTAATTTCTCTCTGCTGTTATGTTGCTACTGTCGTCTCTGCTGCGACGCGACCCTTTTCTGACATCTCTGGTAAAGACTCGGCGCTTACCGATGTCGCTATGCTTAGCAGGAGTAGGCAGGAAGTTATAAATGCTGCACACAGAGTCCTCTGCCTGTGCAGGCTGCGCTACGCCACAGCGACATTGTTTCCCGAAGGCTAAACAATAGTGAGATTCCTGGGCTGCATTGCTTCAGCTTTACATGACAATGGGCGTGTGCTGTTTGCTTTCAACTTGCACTAGAATTTACTATTTTTAGCTAATGTGGATTTCAAAGTATGCAGGATATAAAAAAAACATGGGTTGCGAGTTTGAGTCCTGCGTCTGCTTTGTGGATTTGCACGTTCTCTCCAGACTCTGTGGATTTGCATGTTTCGTTTGCACTCTGTAGGGTTGCGTGTTCTGTCTGGACTCTGTAGGGTTGCGTGTTCCCTCTGGACTCCGTGGGGAGCAATGATGCCGTCCATCTTTCTAATGGTCTCTCTTCCCATCAGCCATCAGGCCGTCCCCATCCAAGAGGACCCGGAACTCTATCCCGGCCCTGAAGTCGTCCTCGCAAGAGATCCTGTCCTCGCACAGCGACGACGGAATTGAGGAGAGGAAGGACAGACTCAGCGGGACTCGGAGCCTCGCCAGTCTGGACGGCCGAGGTACGGCTCCCAGACAGCTGCAGCGCTGCTCCTCCCATTGGGAAAGATGCTGACTTCATAGTAACTTTCCATAGTGCTATAAATGGTTTGATGTATAGTTGTGCTGTATTTGCTGTCGAATGTGCAAATGCTGCACTTTTTAATCAATTTATCATAATCGCTATATGGTAGGAGCCACTTTGCCATTAAGACTGGGCTTCCTGCACTATGAGTCATAAAATATGACCCTGACGAGACATTAGATGCTCTCCAAAGAGTGTCTGTCAGAGCCATTTCCCCCCACTGTCCTTGGTCAGGAGATTCAAGTGGTTTCTGAAAGTTTTAAGGGCCAGAAAGTCACTTGCAGGTTGAATTTTCCTGTCAGACGTGTCATAGTGTTTGACTCCTACTTATGTGGTTCTGCTCCTTGTAGCCTTCTATGAGGCCGGCTCCATGGCCACCACTATCTCCTCCTCTTCCCTCTACACTACCCAGCAGTGCCTTGAGGCCAACCCAAAGCAAAGGTAAATCCACCCACCCACTTCCCTACCCGTCCGGCTGTTATCTGGACCCCTAGCGATGTAGAGGCGACATGGAGGCGAAATCTCTCATGTTACCTTTGTACTCCTTTTGTACAATTTTTTTTTTTTTTTCCAACCCTCTTGCACCAGGCAGACGTCTGTCAGCTTCTCACGTACCCGTCAGGGAAAAAGGTGCCTATTGCTTTATCATGTGGCATTTCAACATCTCGCTGCCCCACCCTGTATCAGTCACCACATTATTGCTTACTGTCCTGGTTATACTTTGCCCCCTGACTTGGCGTGGCGTTCGTTTCCGCATTTAACAGCCTAGTGCCGAATGCTGTTGTGGAATCCCTGCAGCAAAATCGTCAGGTGTTGTTCATTGAGAGGAGCCGTTTTATATTTTTAATGTATTTTTAATGTGAAACACATAAATGGGCAACAGAGGGATGACAGACAGTGACATGGGCCAGAGAAGTAACATTGCTGTGAAATTTCACCCTTTTAAAAATGAGTGATCCTGCCCTGTCTGCTGGAGCCAATGGCGACCCTGCCTAGTCCATCGCAGCCAATGGCGACCCTGCCTAGTCCATCGCGGCCAATGGCGACCCTGCCTAGTCCATCGCAGCCAATGGCGACCCTGCCTAGTTCATCGCAGCCAATGGCGACCCTGCCTAGTCCATCGCAGCCAATGGCAACCCTATCCTGCTGGCTTTACAGCTGCTGTCCCACATGTTTCCGAGTTCCAGTTCTGTCAGAGCCTAGGCGATGCTCTCTGCAGGAAGCTCTTATGTTTGTCACTATAAAACAATGAAACATATTGAAAGATGAGTATTTTGCTGTTTTTTTTTGCCCAGCACCAGGGATCATGTCTGGCACATTGTGGTTCCATTGATTTCTGATGCTGAGTGTCCTTAGTGTATATAGTGTGAATGCCTCCGCATTCACCACAGAATGCCTGTAGGGAGGGACGGTCACTCGATTGGTGACACTGTTGCCTCACACCCCCCAGGCTTGGAGGTTTGATCCATGCCCCCCCGCTCGGTGTGCAGTGTATGCCCAGTGAAAGACTGGCACCCCATCCAGGGTGTCCCCAGCCTAAAGTCCTGCATTGCCTGGATGAAAATCCAAGCTTACTGTGACCCTTTATTAGAAGATCAGTGTGATGGATGGTAGCAAGTGAAATGATTTTGAACTCATAGGGACAATTTTCTCCTGCAGAAAGTCCATGAAAACACTTATGATAAAAAGATGGTTTATATCAGGTGGCTGATGAACATCTTGATCTGCTTAAACATGTTGTGTAGATACTTAGAGATGAAACCACAGAAACATAGAGTCCCCTGTATCCCTCACCTCTGCGAATCCGTACTATGCAGTCATGTTTATTTGGCATGAAGAGTCAGGACTACAGCACTAAATCATACAGTACTGTATGTATACTTAATACATTAAATGTAAAATTCTATTGCACATTTTCATAAGCACATTCTCATAATGTGATTCCACATGGGAATGTTCCATATGGATATAGAAAAACAGAACATTTTGTTATATCCCCTTCATAGAAGAGGGTAAAGTAGCACATTTGAAGAGTGTCTATTAACGTACAAATCAAAGACCAGAAATACAATTGTGAACTACATCATGTGCTTGGTTAATTATGGCAAATGATAATTGATTGGAGTTAGCAAATCTGTCTTGGTTATCTGTTTGCTTGAGGATGGACACTAGAGAATGATATGTTCAGTTATTTTAATGCTTGAAATGTTGAAGCAGCACATTGTGCATCTTTAATAACATTCTGTCCTAATCACACGAAGAACATTTTATACGAATCGCATGAATAAACACCACGTGAAGACGGCAGAAAATGTTACAGATTACGAGTACAGCCACTGCTCTCAGATATGGCCATGAAGTTTATTATAAAAATGAGTTGTTGATACTGCACTGAATAATAGATGTATTCTTGTATAAGCAAGTAGTTGATGTATATAATGTTCAATTTAAAGCTTATACTTACTAGCAGAAAGCAATGATAGTGAGCTGAGTTGAATAAATATTGGCTTTAGAGGCTGGGTGAGATCTTGAGTTTGATTAGTGTTACCTCAAGTGTCCCTCCATCATTGACCGGTGTCCTGTTTGTGAGACAGAAATTATGTTTGTTGGCTTACAGCCTGTAAATGATGTGGTTAAGGAGTTCCAAGCTTACTGGTTCAGATTCCAGGAGAGGCTGAAGTTCATGCGAGCAAAATCCTAGATTGCCCCAGCTATGATTCCAGCTACTCAAATTGGAGATAAAGCCTTTTGATCACGTACCTTTCTCACATCTCCCCGTCAGAGATGAACTGGCCACGAGCTCCACATTTACGCTGGAGGACAGCGCCATCTGCTTGACACCCGAGCAAATTACACTGGACGACAGAGACGACGGCTCTGTGCTTGACGTCTACTTAGTAAGTTTGTCTTTCTCATTTGAATATTTAGTCCCATTGGGCTGCTCTCTTAATAAACACTTGGGGGAAACTAACTGCAATGTATTCATCCCTATCAGAGGTCTTAATTATGGTCACATTTATAGTTACATCTATGTATTTTGTGACATTGATAATTGTAATACAGCTATGATTTTTTTCTTAAGCTCTAATTTTCCTTAGCTACAATCAAGCAATAACAACAACAACAACAATGTACTTTACATTATTATTTCATAAGAGACACAAGTATGAGCATTGGTGCATTCTTTAGTTTTCGTTACCCCTTCTTATTCTCCCACGAGACACAGAGCCCAAAGAAACAAAAAAATGAAGCAGCTGATTTAGAAATTTTGTAATTTGTACATACAAATGTGACAAAAACATACAATGCAGTAAATTTCATCATAAAAGGGTGATGGAATTAACTATGCTAAGACATTGCAGAACATGGATACCTATGTGATCTGTCACTGAAACAGTGTATTTTTAGCATTTATCTGTTGCATGTCTCCTATGTAAATGACTATAGCATAAAATGGCATCATTACTAATATGATCCTTCTCCACCTTTTCAGTAAGGGGGGGGGGTTGGGGTGCATACGGCTTCTTCTCCACCACGTCCTTCTAGTCAACCATCTGGCGGGCATCACATTCCACTGGAGAGCGGCTTCATCCAAGGTTCCACGCCCCGGTCCACGGCACCAGGCCGCTGGCCTTGGCCAGTCAGAGACGAGGACGCGCACTCACTGCAGACTGGAACGAAAAATATAAGCAATCACACCAATGGAGACCACACCTGAAAGCAGGGCTACAGATTTTCTACGCTTTTCCTTGGATCCATGCAAGCAAACATTATGCTTTTATAGTTGCTTGTGTCAAAAACATTCTTTTATAAAATATGTATGCCAATGCCAGGCGTGCCCAGTGCCCCCCCCAGAAGAAAGGACCTGGGTGTGTTGACATTGTTTGCCCATCAGCAGGTCTGTGTGACGAAGTGATGGGGAAGGGTGAATGAACACCCCACCTTTTTTTTCCATTACAGAAGCTTTTTGTGACCCTGTCTGGACAGATTGGGAGGTCGGACTGACGAACTGTTCCATGCCTACTCTGCAGAGGTGTCAAACTGTGCATTTGTTTAGAAAAAAAGCACTTTCCATGTTTGTAATGATGAATGTGTGTAATAAATACTGTCATACAGTTTGGATCTGGTTGGTTACCAAATCACTATATAGTGAATAGGCACATTTTTACACATTCTCACATATACATTATATGTCGTATATGTTGAAAAGATGCACAAATGATGAAGGATATAAATGAAGATTTTTTTTTGATACACGACTGGTTTCAGAGGATCATTTCTGAAATTGCATTTTCTCAGGATATCTGTGAACTAAGCATATCCTCAGCATCACCATGTAATATTACATTTTCAACACTTAGAAGCTGATAATGATTCTGAGCACATCAGAGTCTTTGGATATCATTATTGTGCTTGTGCTAGATTTTTGGATTTTGCCATAATTTATTAATTCACTTTAAAAATGTATACAGCTTGCTGAAGATGAAAATATTTTAATCTCTGAATGTAAAGTCATATTTATAGAGAAAAGATACTGCTATATGGAAAATAAATAAGCTGTTATGCTCAAAAAGTGTTTCATTCGTGTTTTTATTCTCATGTTTAACGGGTTTTGCTTTTCGTTTTACCAAGGTGTGTGACATTTGTGACGCACCCACACATTGTTTTGATGGGTTTCAGGTTTAGTACCTTAGACACAAGCTGTCAGAAGACAGCTTCCTTGGGTGTACAGCAGATAGTTCATTTATATGGGAACAGATCCAGGCTGCTAAAAGGAAGAACAAAGGCCTTCATCTGGTCTGGCTGGACTTGCCAAATGCCTATGGATCAGTTCCTCACCAGTTCTTCATCTTCACATTTGAATTCTTCCACATACCAGCATGTATCAGGATTTTGATAGGCAGTTTCCATGGTGACATGAAGATACGGCACAGGATGCATGAGTGCATCACTGGTTGGCAGCAGCTGGAAGCGGGAAGAGCGATGAGGTGTTGGGTCTCAGCCATATCGTTCACAGCTACATTTGAGGTCATCCTCAGACAACCTGGTGAGTCTGAGCACATTCTGGCCTGAGATTTCCTGGCCCTGCACAGCTACTGTACGTGGATGGAAGCCTTCTCAAAACAGCCAAATGTGCAACCTGACTTATGAAGAGGCTGGAGGAATTATTGAAATTGCAGGGCTGCCAGATCTCACACATCTGGCGTGACACTCACGCAGTCAGATCTCACGCTCACGCAAGAAATCTTACAGCAAATCTATATTATTCCATTATAAACCTAAAATTAGCGACATCAAAAGCGTTACGTACAGACTATTTATGAGGTAATAAAAGTGTTACATGTAAATGCATGTGCATGTCAGTACAGACTTGCCTCAAACTGAAAATCTCACGCTAGCCAACTGACCAAAGTTGGCAACCCTGACATGGGCTGCGATCGGTACAGGTCCTAGCCGATGTGGCACCAAAGACGAGCATCACCACCGGCGCCCCCTGTTGGAGGCAACGGACATTGACTGGCAAGTCAACGCCTCCTCAGAAGTTAGCATCCTAAGTGGCTGCCTATATCACCTGGATTCACTGGGCCTGGCTTGGATGATGATTAAACCGTTAAAATTCTGCAGCCTCTCCATTTGGAAAGGAATTAGGGATAATCAGACTAAGCAGAAGAGGATTCCCCATGTTGACAAAACAGCAAGGGGGGAGTGAATATACAGCAGAGCTATGAGATAAATACATGTCAGTGGTGGTTAAGGGGGGCTTAGAAAAGCCATTTCCTGCTCTTCTAGTTGAAGGTCTGGTGTTACCAGTTTACACTGTAACAATATTGCTTGGAGACCCAGCAGATGTGTTAAATTGCCACCGTCAGTTGCAAAGATGGATGCCCAAGCCAACAGTTACGTCAGGAAATGACTGGGTTTGTATCATTGTCTTTCAGATGCTACTTTCTTTGAGAGGACTGCAATAAAACTGCCATTCAAGTCAACCTCCTTGGGCTACAAGCAGGAGAAAGCCAGAGTGTTGTTGGGGATCAGGGGATCAACAGACCAGTCTGTGAGCGACTATAGATAAAACAGGCTCAGGGGTGGCGCACGTGGCACAAGGACCAGGTCTTGTGCAAGTAGGTGGAAGACCTGGAAATGTGCAGAGTTAAGGCAAACAAAGATCACCCACAAGTGCAGCTGAATCACTTTGCGAAGCCTGAAGATGTTGCACAGCCGGAATAATCTTAGCTCCCAGAAATAACTAGAAGACGAGAGTAGACCTTAGCCAGCAGCCACTGACATCCTCAACACCTCCTTAAGGCCTGACATCGAGGTGTAGTCTATAACAGCTAAGAAACTTATAATGACTGAACTTATAATGCCATGGCAAGAAGGAGGGGGTGGAGCCAAAGACAGGAAAAGGCAGAATCATGCTGTGCTGGTGGCTGATTGCAGGGAGAAGGGACTGGAGGTGGGTTTCCGTATGAAAAAAAAATGTTCATATAAGGCTATCAAGTATATAGTTCATATAAGGCTATCAAGCATTTTTCTCATTTCAGTTATATATAACAATGCATTATGCTTTTTTTTGTTCACAAGTCAGTGTTTGACATGTAAGACATTCAAGGGACAAGCCTATAGAAAAAACATAAAACTTTCAAATGAATTTTACATTTTATCCTACTTGATAACATATGGCTTTAGTAGGAAATAAATGTTTATTACTTGTTGTTTCTTAATAAAAATGTATATTGTTCTTATGTTATTCTAATGAAAAACGTGTGATCACTCCACATTCAGTTGGTTTAATTAGAAATGAGAACATTCATTTTATGTCCTCAGAACACAAAGTGAATGTATCAAGCGATAAAGGATGTTGCCTTTTCAAAATACTCATTCTAGCTGTGTGGAACCTCTGTCCATGGTTCAGCTGAGTTCATGCAAAGAATTATACATAGAAACTAATACTGACAAAACATGCATTTAATATTCAGCGTACCTGAATATAAAACCTATGTTTGACAAAATTGAATATGTATTTTACATGAATAAAGGAAAAATATGACTAATGACACATACATTGCATATGGATTGTACATGACTGTCAGACTTATATATTTGATGGCACATTAATTTCATGTGCATTTTGCATATATGTCTAATCACACATTAAGTTATATGAATTGCATATTTATTTGAATGTCATATAAAGAGCTTTGGGTAAAATGCATTAGAGTCATATGTTTTTTTTTTAAACTTTTCCATGTGTGTTGCCAAAGTTTCTTGGGAACATCTACTCAGCATCTATTGAAGGACACTGGAGTGTCACGAGTTAAGTTACAGAAGATACTGAAGGAGCTGGCCGAGAAGGCTGAGAAGAGCAGCTTCTGGCTATGGCTAAAACTGAAGGATAAGCACATGATTTATTAAAGCCAGCAGGGAGGGAGTAGAAGAGCAGGGGCTCAAGCTGAGGAGGTGAAGCATTGGAAGGTCCTGTTACAAGGTGTTAGAAGGTGCTGAAGGATTTATATAATGACACCCTGTTTCCTCACTCATGCTGCCTCAACACAAATGGCAGAAATTACTGTTGCAACTACTAGAGCAGTTCAATGCAAAATATAATATATATATAATTGTATTTACAGACATCTACTTCCTGTAAATGCCATCATAAATCAATATGGTTTCATTTCTCGCTGTGTTGTACAATACACGTGCAGTACCGATCCTAGACGATATAGCACCCTATCCTCCCCCATCTGAGGCAAAGTGAAATTGACTGGCATGTCATCATCTCCTCAGAAACTGGCGCCCTAGGGGGGCACCTATTGTAGCTTGTAGGATTGATTGGCCCAGTATATAGGTTTTGAAGGCTAGCTCACAGCTAGCACAACAAATTTAACAAGTGAATGTAGCCTTCTGTCACAACACTGAGACTGATTAAAGAAACATGTAAAATATTCATAATACCATGATTATGTTTATGAAGAGTACTTTTAATCAACAGAATATCAGTAACATTAGTTTCAGTATATCAGTACATATGTATATCAGTGCATATATGAAGGAAGCCCAAAGACAGCAAAATGAGTTACTACCAGCAATGACAGGACATGCAACATTTTACAGATGTTAGTAAAACGTGCATTTCCGGTAAAACACGATAAATAAACTACACGAACGGCTTCATAAGCTCGAGTTATATTCTCGCGAGATTTCACGCAGTACAAGGAAAAGAGTACGATACCCAGGCATGTACAACCGATAACGCGGATTCGATTTGTCGTATACAGACAGACGACCATGTCACGTTTGGCACTTAAACGCTTGGTGTTTTACCGGTTCCATCTAATTACGACAGTAAAGCAAGAACGGGCAGCTGCTAGAATACACTCCGAGAGCGGCAGATGTCCGTTACACCAGGTGGGTACTTAAGGAAAGCAGTATTATTACACATAAATTAGCCCTCGGTGCTATCACTTGCTGCAAGGATACCTGGCAGTAATGTCACTGATAATTAATCGTGTTTTACACTGAAAGGAACGTGGACGCTTTAAAACACTTAGAAGTTATGCAGTTAAAGTGACCAACAGTCTACCTATTTCACAACAAATGGATATCATGTTAGCGCATTGTCAAATCCAGTTTTGACGGCCTATTGCATACGTTAGAATTAACCGAGTATATGATTTAGGTAACCATTCCTTCTAAGTACAGGTAGTAATGGATCTTTTTCTTTCGTTTCATGTTGACTTAGCATGACAAAATATTGTCTCGGACTCATGATAGAACCGCGTCTTCTCATGTCCGGGACCCATGGACGTCCATCGGAGCCGGCAGGGTATTCACTCGGCCTTTTCCTATGACATGCATAGTTTTCAAAATTGTTCATTACATACAGTAAATGCGTTTAGTCGTCAACTGTTTATTGTAATTTACAGTTATTAGGTCCAGGACTACTACAGAGGACGCAAAAAAGAAATGTTTACTTAACACGAGCTGCTTGTGCCGAAGAACAAAAGGCTCAGTTAGGGTAAGAACTGATTCTTCAAGTTCTGAAGAAATAGTAATTTAGTGTAGAAATAACTAGTTTAATGCGTCAAATACTGAATACTGAGCAGAGGTGGACATTTAAGGTCCAGAAAGTAAAAATCCAGACCAGAATTTTGTTTCAACCAACCACTTGAGTACTATATGACTGTGACTCTTTATGCTCAACTGGTTGGTTGAAACAAAATCCTGGTCTGGATTTTTACTTTCTGGACCTGAAATTTCCACCTCTGATACTGAGTCATTTTGAGTTCCTGTTAAGTTTAGTCTTTTCTGCAGGTTGATCATATGTGTAGTATGTTAGAAATGTTTATTTAAATCTGAACCTTGCACTTAATACAGATAATGAATAGTCATTTTAGTTAGGCCCAATACAGTTATTCATTTTCTATTAGCATTTGTATTTTAATTAAGAATTGATCTAATTAAGCAGTTATAACCTTTGGTGTTTTCATGGCCAAAAAAAAATTATTCGGTTTTATTATTAGTTTAAAAAAAAGACAGAAAAGTTGATCGGCTAATTTGGCTGTTATATAG